CCTTGAGGCATCTGAACAGCATGGAAATTGTAAATTGACAATAAAGCTGATCTTTTGTACAGTGCATTTGGTTCTCTCTTTTATTTACCACAGTCAACAGACACAATTACAATAGTGCAGACACACCTTAGTGCAAAGATTAAATGTCAGTATCAAAACAGTACTCATACTGTATATTTGTATATTAATATGAGTATATTATTATGTTAAATGTGTGTTAAAGACAATGGGATGAGGTTGGAAGCTCTTTAAAAAGCTTTTGTATACCATCTTTACTGTGATAAATACATACATGTTTAGCATACACACCTGAAGAACTACGTTACACACACACAGGTTAGTCTGTGTACCGCTGCACTGCTGCTGGTTTAAACAAAGACAATCATGATGCTAGTGCTGTGCATGTAGGTTCTCTTTTATTTATCAGCAGCAGATCAATAAGTGTCAGTAGTATCAAAACAATATAATAACAGTGGCAATATATATATATATATATATATATATATATATATATATATATATAATAATAGGTAGGCTCAGCAGCAGACACACCTTAGTGCAAAGTTAGGTGTCAGTATTAATAACAGTGGCATATATATATAATCACAATAATACAAAATTAACTGTCCCAGGTGTAGGCAATTTGGGGTGAAGTGTCTTGCCCAGGGACACAACGACATCCTGACTGCAGTGGGGTTTGAACCTGTGCTCCCCTGATCCGAACACCAACGCACCAGACCACTGCACCACACGCCTCCCAACAAGTCATTGTACAGTTTATCAACGACGACAAGTTTTTCTTAATTTTTGTATTGAAGGCCTGTTGGATTTAATCAGCCAGGAGTGGAGTGCACCAGCTGGGCGTAAGCTGGTCGTAACTCTACGTCCGACGTAGAACCGAAGGTTAAGACCAAACTAAAGTTATGACTAGTGCACCACTTAGACTTAAGCCCTGTATGCGTTGCGCCCGGGTGTAACTTTTACGCCTAGTATGGAGCAGGCGTAAATCGGAAAGACAGACTAGTATCCATAGTAACGTAAAACAGGCAAGAAGGATATTAACGATGGCAGGGCGTCTTGTTTACAGGTTTAACAATGAAAGGGCATTAAGAAGAGAAAGAGTCGTCCGTGATCGAACAAACCCACTGGACATCTATTCAGACAGTGAACTGATAGAGAGGTTTCGTTTCGACAGACAAGCCCTTTTTGATTTAATCGAGGAGATCTCCCCTCAACTCCAGCACGGATCAAACCGAAACGCTGCGCTCTCCCCAACCTTGCAGGTGCTGATAGCGCTCAGATTCTACGCGAACGGGGCCTTTCAAAATACTGTGGGAGACATGATTAATGTTCATCGCACAACTGCATGTCGGGCTATAAGACAAGTTTCATTGGCCCTCCAGCGCCGCCTTAGGAACTATATTCACCTACCCACACAAGAAGAATCAGCGAAATCCAGGCAAGATTTTTTGTTAAAATCAGGTATACCTGGTATTGTCGGATGCATCGACGGTACTCATGTTCGCATTCAGGCCCCCTCTGAACATGAGTATTTGTATGTTAACAGAAAGGGTTACCACTCAATAAATGTCCAAATTGTTTGCAACTCGGACATGGGCATTGTCGACCTCGTTGCAAGATGGCCTGGGTCGACCCATGATGCTCGCATCCTGAGAGAGAGCGCCCTTCAACGGGAATTTGAGGCAGGGAGAATTAATGGTCTTCTTCTCGGAGACAGTGGATACCCTCTGAAGCGATGGCTAATGACACCTGTCATCGCAGAGAGAACTGCACAAGAGCGCCGCTATAATGAGAAGCATACGCAAACGAGGAACATTGTAGAGCGCTGCATTGGAGTGCTCAAACGTAGGTTAGTAAGTCATTTTTATAATATATAAAAGGCCAGCCTTTTAATGTAGATATAGGCTAAATTGTTTTTTGCTTTTTTTTGTAGGTTTCACTGCCTCCACAGTGAAATGCGAATGCACCCTGAGCGCGTCTGCGTGATCATTGCTGCCACTGCGGTGCTGCACAACATCTGTGTGAAAAAGAGAATCCCCCTTCCGATGCAAGGAGACTTGGTACTGGAGGCGGATGAGAACCCTGTGGCTCCTGCTGGCATCCGTGAAGATATCGGTGGACGACTTACCCGCAATCATATAATAAACAACCTATAGACCTATATATTTGTAATATGAACGCTGTTTTTTTGCAATTGCATTTCAATAAGCTCCCATTGTGACCACATATTTTCATTAGGTCTATTTTATTCAAAGAACACACACAAGAACATTAAATAACAACATTTTGGAGAACTATTAACATGAAATTGAGATAAAAAACAAGTACAACAGATATGATTACAGAATGGTGAACACAGTGTCTTCTTCAGTGATTATTTAATTATTAAGGATTATAATTTGGAGTCTCAATTTCTCCTTCTCCAGCTCAATTTTCTCGTGTTCCGCTCTCAATTTTACGGTCTCCACGTTACACAATTTACACAAAACATATCCTGTAACAGTTCTGAAGAGTTAGCAGCCAGGTATATATTGCACAGTTATTAACGGCATATATATATATATTGCACATATTGCACATAGTTGGTATGTGCTATATCTGAGACCTATAATATATGCCTAAAAATAGTATAATAGGAGACCTTTAAGTGCTATTCCCCCCCTGTGCTGCAGTTACCCCGGGACTCTGCGTCAGTTCCTGTCTGGGAACCAGCCGAGCCGCAGGCAGCGAGTCCTGATGCTGCTGCAGCTGCTGGAGGGCGTGCAGCACCTCTGCAGCGAGGGGGTCGCTCACCGGGACCTGAAGACTGACAACATCCTGCTGGAGCTGGACTCAGGTCAGAGATGCTGTCTGTATCAGAGCGACTGCAGTCTGCAGCTTCCCTTCAACAGCATGTGGGTGAGCCGGGGGGGCAACGCCTGCCTCATGGCCCCCGAGGTGAGTTTCAGTAACTCTTTAAAGGTCTCCTATTATAATATTTGTAGGCATATATCATAGGTCTCAGATATATACAAAACATGTCTCTGAAGTGTTTTGCTCAAAATACCAAACAGATCATTCTAGCCTCATCCCCCTCTCTTTCAGCTGTTACTAAAGCAGTGGTTCTCAAACTTTTTCCGTCAGGCCCCCCTTTGGAGAAAAAAAAAAAAGTCGGGCCCCCCAACACAAATAGTCACGTAATGGGCCCAGTTAACATGTATTAAAATACATCAATATGAACGTGAGCATTAAATTCAAAAATCACTCCCCACGCACACACACAGTGTACCCGCGACTGTTACAATGAAGGCTCGATAATCAGCTCACGGCATATAGGCAGGGGTAAAGTGCTATTTTTATAAGTGGGGGGTGGACCTAACATCCTCTAGGGGGGTCCTCCTCGCCTCCTCTAGGGGGGTCCTCACCTCCTATAGGGGGGTCCTCACATCCTCTAGGGGTCCGGGGGCAAGATTTTTTTTTAAATATTGAAGTTAAAAGCATCAATCTGGTGCACTTTGAGAGCAACATGAAGAGATCTATGGATACATCTCTCAACACCCATATGAAACAGAACTGGAAACAGATTTTCTTTTTCTTTATGGATATTTTACAAATCACTCCCCTTTCAAACTGTATTCTTGTTTTACTGTCATGTATTTCATAACTGTTTTTCATGTATTCTCTTATTTTTTTATAACTATAATGATCATATAAACGTGTGCCTTGGAAATAATTGTTTACATAAATCATGACCAAACCTTTTGAGACAGATAACTAATCTCAGTGGGTAATCTAAACACTGAGAGGCTCAGATAACCTCACTGAGCTGAGGTTATCTGAGCCTCTCAGTCTGACAGGCGAGAGTTCTCTTCCACCTTGTTGTTGAAAAAGCTCCTTATATCCATTAGCGTAACTAGCTAGCACCAGATGCTAACAACAACAATCTTCGGTACCGGTGCGCGCTCTCTCTCTCTGTCTCGCTCGCACACGCACACAACATGGCTCGTTCCACACACACACAGAGCCGAGCTTGAATGAAACACAGAGACACAGACGTACTTGTACTGTAGCATATTATTTTAGAATCAATCATTTTTCAAATTATGAATTTCACACATAAAAATAAAAAGACATACATTTCTTGGGGGTGCTATGGCTATCCTGGGGGGAGCTGCAGCACCCCCTAGCGCCCCCCTGACGCCGCCCTTCCATCCTCAAAATGTACATTACACACCTGTGTCCTACAGCGCCCTCGTAGGTTTCTAAGGTATCTAAGTGTAACTACCGCCGGTCATGCCGACGTCATAACAATTCTCTTTTCAAAAAAACAACTGTCATGCCTCTGCGCCCCCCACTTTGAGAAACACTGTACTAAAGAGATGATTCTGGGTCAGTAGCTTTAAAAAAAGGGAGCTTGTGCCTTCTCAGAATTCTACCGAGAGATTCTCAGCCGTGATGAAACGCCATATCATGTTCAAAACCACATCAAGGATTATTTCTGAAACGTATGGAGCTCAAATGCTTTTTCTCTTGCGTGTTTACCACATGTTGCCGTGGGTCTAAAGCCCACCCACATTTCAGATGTTACGTCATGACGCAGCAAATCTGGATCAGCTCCGTTGTTCCCCCGTTTTTAGAGATGTGGGTACGGAGGGAAAGAGAGAGGGTTTATCTCCTGACACTTTGAGAGTCTCCTGACACACCGGGGACACACCGGGGACACATATTTATGTAGAAAAGACATAAAAAAGTGCATTTAGCATGATAGGAGACCTTTTAAATAAATATCTATATCTATATATAACCCACAATATAAATATACAGAAATATAATAAAGACTTATAATCAGAGTTACACAGTGAACCCTGACCCTGTTGTCTATAACCGCTCTCTGCCCCCCCCCCCCCCAGGTGTCCAGTGCCTCCCCGGGCCGGGCTTCGGTGATCGACTACAGGAAGGCGGACGGCTGGGCGGTCGGCGCCGTCGCCTACGAAATCTTCGGGGAGCAAAACCCTTTCTACGGAGCGGGGGGGCTGCAGAGCCGGAGCTAAGAGGAGACGCAGCTGCCACCTCCCCCCCCCACTGCACCTGCTGACGTGCAGCTGGTGATTCAGCTGCTGCTCAGGAGGAGCCCCAGCAAGGTGATATACACAGATATATATTAAAGGTCTCCTATCATACTACTTTTAGGCAGAATTATGGGTCTCAGATATATACAAATATATAAAAAACATGTCTATGAAGTGTTTTGCTCAAATTACCAAACAGATCATTCTAGCCTCAAACCCTCTATTCCAGCTGTTACTAAAGTGCTGATTCTGGGTCTGTAGCTTTAAAAAAATAATAATACAAAAAAAATAGATCTCATCAGGAGAATTCTAAAACTCTCACTGGTCCCCGGCTTGAGCTTCAATCTCAGGATCCATGTATCTGTGATCCTCTCCAGAATGGAAGTAGTCATCACATACAGAGCATCAACTAGTTCCTGAACAGTGTCCTTCACATGCTGATATCCAAGAGAGGGAGTTACACAGTCACAAGATGGAGGAATAGAAAGCAGTATTCAATGTTTATTTCAGATTAGCTCCACGTCAGAAATGATCATGCTTGTCATATGGCTATCTCCATAGAATCATCATGTTAATCACATAGCTATCATATGCCTCAAACAGTCCTGATGCTCTTCTAGGTAATCATACATCCTGTCATGAACACAGCTACAGTTGGGATACCTTTGTTATCATGTTGCTCTCATGTTGGAAGAGGACATTCAGGATTCTCCCAACAGATATTAAAACAGGTTGTTCATTAACCACCTGTTTTTTTACTCTCTTCTGCAGCGGCCCAGCGCTCGTGTCGCCGCTAACATGCTTCACCTGAGCCTGTGGGGGGGGCGGGCTCTATCCGACCTGAGGAAGCTCTCTGATTGGCTGCTGTGTCAGTCGGCCGTGGTGCTGCTGGGGGGGTGCAGCGGGCCGGGAGGGTGCACGGTGGAGGCGGAGCTTCAGAGGAGCTTCCTGTCCAACCTGGATCTGGAGGAGCTTCGCACCGCGGGGGGGTTCCTGCTGTACGGCCGGGGGGGGGGGCAGCGGCGTCTGATTAGACTCACCTTCAGACCAAACAAGAGGATTCTCCCCTCGCGTTAAGATAAGATAAGATAAGAAGTACTTTATAGATCCCAATTTGGGAAATGTTTGCGTTGCAGCAGCATAGAAAGACAAGGTATTGTACTTAGAAATTAAAAGTATATATAAATAAACCATCAAACTGAGACAAAGACAGGCCACGAGTCCAACTCAAAACACAGACTTTATTAATTAGATCAGCTGCTTACATTGAAAGTACATGAGTGTTAATGATGAGACAATCATCATGTGATTGGTCTGTTAATAAACCCATCTAACCCAGATCAGAGGTTTACATTCACCCCACAAGCAGCCGTGTTCATTCAAACATCATCGTGCTGTTTAGGGAAGATTAGTTTCCTAAATGCAAATAAGGCTCATCGAATCTGACCCTTCTTAAAAAGTAATGACCATGTTTGCATGAGAGTAAAAAGCCAGCATTAAAATAAAAGCTGCACACTGTGCCGCTCAGACTCTGCTGTGTAGGGCCACGTTATATTTTAAATATTCACAGGGAAGCCGGTCATTGAGCTCAAATGCATGCACGCTGTGGTTTGCACTTTATGTTCACGTTTGCACTTCAGACGTTATTATATGTTAGTTTGTAGACATCATGTATTATATTCTGCAGAAGTGATTGAACTCGTCACTATGACCTGTTCTTAACGAGCCTCAGTAACCCTTTACTGCTGCCATTCAAACTGAAGTGATGTCACGTGTTCACAAACTACAGATGGTGGGAAGACTTTGGGATAAATGTACATTTTCCTGCAGTTTCAGAATAAAAGCCTCCGTGTGGAAATAAATCAGAAAGGACTTCCTGTTGTTATTCAACCTCTTTCTGAGTTTCATCTTTGCAAAGACTGACTTTTGTTTTGAGTTTTTTCTTAAAATCTTACAATTCTGACTTCTTTCTGCAAACCCTTTATTTTTCTGAAATATCAACATTTAGATTTATTTAAAATTGAAATTAACATACAGAATTTTTTTTTCAGATAATCTCAGAAATCTTAGCTTTACACTTTTATTATCAGCCCCTCTCTTTTTTTGGGAGGGGGGGGGGGGGATGTATCACACAGAGACACTGAGGCACCAGGTAACCATAACCCAAACCCAAACCCAAACCCAGCATAGAGAGGTTCAGTGAATGTGGCTCTGAAGGTGTGGATGTGGATCAGTGTGTCAGAGGAGACTCTGTAGAAGGAGAGAGAGCCAGCAGGATGATCCAGATACACTGCTACTCTACGAGAGGAGGAGGAGGAGGAGGAGGAGGAGGAGGAGGAGGAGGAGGAGGAGGAGGAAGAGGAAGAGGAAGAGGAGGAGGAGGAGGAGATGAAGATGGGGATGTCTCTGTTATTTTGAAAGACAGTGTAACCTCTATCAGCGCACATCAGACTCCAGGACTGATCATTCCCTCCAAACCCACAGTCCCCTCCGCCTCCTCTGCTGATTCCTCTGTAAGTCACTGATATATTAACCCCTACTCTCCACTTGACCTCCCAGTAACAGCGACCAGTCAGAGCTTCTCTGCACATCAGCTGAGGCAAGGAGTCAAACCTCTCTGGATGATCAGGATATTTCTGCTCCTCTCTCACACGTCTCACCTTCCTGTTGTTGTTAGACAGTTTGAGTCCTCTGTTCACTGTGTTTGAGTCCAGTGTGAGTCCACAGGAATCTGATGAGAGACACAGCAGGTATTAAAGGTTACTAAAGTACCTGTGATGTCCCAGTGTGAAGATGTTCATGATTAAAAACACACTTACACTTCCTGACACCTCCTGGCCTCAAGAACCGGACTGCAGCAGGCTCCAGGCTGAAAGCAGAGGGGGGGTCAGTTAGTCTTTAAAGTGGACCTATCATGCTATATGTAAATGATATATTGTAGAGCCATACCTATATAAGGTATATTTATACGTTTCTGTTTTCAAAATACCAAACAGATCATGCATTTTAGCCATGCCTCATTTCGCTCTATGTGCTGTTTGCTGTCTACGGGTTTGATTCTGCTGACCACGCCCCCCTGCAGGAGAGGGGAGACGTGCTCTGATCAGCTGCTGGGCTGTCAGAAGAGGGGGAGAAAAAGAGATCTCCGTCCTCCGTGTTTTATTATATAGAGTCGTTATTCATTTGTTTTAAAGCTCAATAAATAACAAAGAAGACCTTTGACCGGCACTTTTCTAATTTGTCCGGAAGATTTAAACTTTAATGGACATCTTGACCGGCGAAAGAAACTGAAACTGAAACTCTGCCGCACAGTCCCCTCGTTACTCCCAACAGTGAAACTTATAAATCCTTATTTTCATTCAAGAGAAGGTTCGTTGAACATTGGCTGTTTGCTAGGACTCAAATTAAAAACATCTGGAAATGAATCAGTTTATTTATTCATGATGTCACTTCCTGTGCTAAATCTGGGTGAACATTAAAACCCCCCCACTCTGTTTCTGTTGGTCGTTCCACGATGAACATTGACCCACTGAGGGGGGGTTTCCTCTCAGTTGTGTTTGATGCTTACAGCTGATGGCAGACAGTGTGAAGAGTCAGGGTCTATCAGCTCTGGTTGTTTCAGGTCATAGGAGCCAGTTTCTACCTCCTCTATCAGACTGAGTGCCTCTCCATACCTGAGCGTGTCCAGTCCAGCAGACAACAGCCTCCCCCCTGAGTCTCCTGGATGATTGTAGCTCATGTCCAGCTCTCTCAGATGGGAGGGGTTTAAAGCTGAGGCCAGAGCATCACAGCCTTCCTCTGTGATCAGACAGCCTGACAGCCTGCAGACACACAAACAAGCCGTCAGATAATCTGAGGGTCCAGTTAGCCTACAGAAGAAGCTTTAATCTGACGCTCATTTAAACTGCTTGTATCTGTGATGTCATCCTTTCAGTGTCTACCTAAAGCTGATGATGGTGAGTAAGGGTTGATCACAGACGGACTGGTAAATAGAGAGCTTTGCCTCCAGCTCAGCTTCCTCTCTCTAACGGTCCTGTGCAACGCCTGCATCACTACTGACTCTGCAACAAACTGGCTGTCCATCTAACGCCTCATTTGACCCTCACTCGTTAACGAGACCCTGAGATAGTTAGCAGATAGCAAAAACTCAGTCAATCCATCGTTTCCAGGCAGAGAGCCTTAGCACCAAATGACTACCCAAATGAGAGCTGGAGGTCAAACGCTTCTGCCAAATCAATAAAAATGAAGCTCTTTATAGACGCTTTATAGAAGTGTGTGCTAATTAACATTTTGTGAATTGTGACAAATATATTGTGTCTCGTTTCACTTCAATTATGTTTTTGATGATGGTATTCCCACACCACACAGCAGGGCTGATTGTTGGCTAAGTCAAACTGTATTGGTCTCTGACCTGAGAGTCTTCAGTTCACAGTGTGGACTCTCCAGTCCAGCAGACAGCAGCTTCACTCCTGAATCCTGCAGGTCGTTGTTACTCAGGTCCAGCTCTCTCAGACTAGAGGACTGGGAGCTGAGCACTGAGGACAGAGCTTCACAGCTTCTCTCTGACAGGTTACAACCACTCAGCCTGAAATCATTCAATAACATGTCCATTCAATAAGTAGTATATGAAGAAACATATAATTGAGATGGTCAACATTTTTAAACAGCTTTACACCAACCTGAGAGTCTTCAGTTCACAGTGTGGACTCTCCAGTCCAGCGGACAGCAGCTTCACTCCTGAATCCTGCAGGTCGTTGTTACTCAGGTCCAGATCTCTCAGACTAGAGGACTGGGAGCTGAGGACTGAGGACAGAGCTTCACAGCTTCTCTCTGACAGGTTACACCCACTCAGCCTGAAGAGACGACGAGGACAACAGTTATTCAGAAGACAGCAGTGTGTTAATAACCGATTCTCTAAATCAAATGATCTCTGTACTTACAGAGCTTTGTTGGAGGCTTTGACCACTGGCAGCAGCCTCAGAAGAGCCTCCTCTGAAGCAAAGTATTTCTTCAGGTCAAACACGTCTAGATCTTTTCCTGATGAGAGTAAGATGAAGACCAGAGCTGACCACTGAGCAGGAGACAGATTATATATGGAGAGACTTCCTGAACTCAGGTACTGTTGGATCTCCTCCACTAGATAACGATCATTCAGTTCATTCAGACAGTGGAACAGGTTGATGCTTCTCTCAGCAGACAGATCCTCATCCATCTTCTTATTGATGTACTGGACTATTTTACAGTTGATCCATGACTGGACTGTTTCCTGATTGATCTCTAAGCCACTTCCTGTCTGTGTCAGCAGGCCTCGTAGGAGTTTCTGATTGGTCTCCAGTGAAAGACCCAGGAGGAAGCGCAGGAACAAGTCCAGGTGTCCGTTTGGACTCTGTAAGGCCTGGTCCACAGCACTCTGGTAGAGATCTGTTAGTTCAGGTTTGACTTCAGACTTCTGGGAGGTTGTTGGTTCTTCTGCCAGCAGGTTGACTCCAGAGTTGATGAAGGTCAGATGGACATGAAGAGCAGCCAGAAACTCCTGAACGCTCAGATGGACGAAGCAGAACACCTTGTCCTGGTACAGTCCTCTCTCCTCTCTAAAGACCTGTGTGAACACTCCTGAGTACACTGAGGCTGCTCTGATATCGATGCCACACTCTGTCAGGTCGGACTCATAGAAGATCAGGTTGCCTTTCTGCAGCTGCTCAAAAGCCAGTTTCCCCAGAGACTCCATCATCTTCCTGCTCTCTGGACTCCAGTGTGGATCCGTCTCAGCTCCTCCATGATACTTGATGTTCTTCACTTTGGACTGAACCACCAGGAAGTGGATGTACATCTCAGTCAGGGTCTTAGGCAGCTCTCCTCCCTCTCTGGTTTTCAACACCTCCTCCAGAACTGAAGCAGAGATCCAGCAGAAGACTGGGATGTGGCACATGATGTGGAGGCTTCGTGAGGTCTTGATGTGGGAGATGATGGTGCCGGCCTGCTCCTGATCTCTGAATCTCTTCCTGAAGTACTCCTCCTTCTGTGGGTCAGTGAACCCTCGGACCTCTGTCACCATGTCCACACACTCAGGAGGGATCTGATTGGCTGCTGCAGGTCGTGTGGTTATCCAGAGGCGAGCAGAGGGAAGCAGCTTCCCCCTGATGAGGTTCGTCAGCAGCACATCCACTGAGGCTGACTCTGTGACGTCAGTCAGGATCTCAGTGTTGTGGAAGTCCAGAGGAAGTCGACACTCATCCAGACCGTCAAAGATGAACACAACCGGGAACTGATCAAACCTGCAGATTCCTGCGTCTCTGGTTTCAGAGAAGAAGTGATGAACAAGTTCCACCAAGCTGTACTTGTTCTCTCTCACCACATTCAGCTCTCTGAAGGTGAATGGAAATATGAACTGGATGTCCTGGTTGGCTTTGCCTTCAGCCCAGTCCAGAGTGAACTTCTGTGTTAAGACTGTTTTCCCAATGCCAGCCACGCCCTTTGTCATCACTGCTCTGATTGGTGCATCTCTTCCAGGTGAGGCTTTAAAGAGGTCTTCTTGTCTGATGGTTGTTTCTGGTCTGTCTGGTTTCCTGGATGCTGTTTCAATCTGTCTGACCTCATGTTGATCATTGACCTCTGGAGACCCCCCCTCTGTGATGTAGAGCTCTGTGTAGATCTGGTTCAGAAGGGTTGGGTTTCCTGCTTTAGCAATGCCCTCAAACATACACTGGAACCTCTCCTTCAGGGTGGATTTGAGTTTACGCTGACAGACTCCAGCAAAGGTTTCTGAAAGTACACACAACAAAAGATCATCTGGTCACACTGAGACTCTGGTTCTCTGAATAAAATATGGATATATGTTGGTCTCTTGAGACATCAGTAGATGAGACATT